GTCAATAAAGAGAAAACAATCCCCAGGGGAAAAGAATCTTCTCAGCAGCATTCCTGGAAGACCAAAGAATATTTCTTTTCAGTTGTGTTCCAGCTCTGAGTGGGACATGGAGCCATCTTCTCTCTAGTGCATCTGTATATAAACTGTGTGTCTAACATGCACAGCTTGCAGATGCTGAGACAGATTTCAGCTGAGCTGCTAATTTAATACCAGGAGATCGCATGTTTTGTCAACAATGCCATTGCATGGGCATAGAGGAGAATCTACAGCAGGGGTCTCAAACTCAACTTACCTGGGGGCAGTCTGGGTGAGGCTGGGCTGCATCAAGTATTCCACCCCCGCGGTGGTGGTGGGCCGCTCATCTGGAGGCCGGCCCGGGCGCCGCCGGCGCTTTGAAGGCCGCAGGGCCCCTCCCCGTGCCCCGCCCGTCCCGGCAATTGGCCTGCGGGTCGCAAGTTTGAGACCCCTGATCTACAGCTTTGCGTGTGCAGAGTCTTCTCCTGATGCCCTCTAAGTATAACGCTCCACATGCAGGTAGCTGTTCTTTTCTTGTCTGCTGAGCATTTTCTTGCTCATGTAGCAGCCACTCTGTGTCCGTCAGTGCATCCACCCAAGAACTCCCCGATCTGCCTGCATGGGCAGGATTCAAATCAGGTGTACTCACCTCCTCTGATGCATGAACACTTGCAGGTAGTCACCACCTTTTTAAACAGGGCATGTTCAGAGGTAAGTGGAAGAGACTTCTCAAAAACAACAAGCAAACTTTCATATAACCAAGAATGCGGAAGAGCCCTCCAAGGGGAGAATGGCTGTCAGGAGAGGAATCTTGCTCTACGGGCTGGAGATATCAAACAGCTTTTGTGGTTTCATACTTCTTTCTTCTGGCAATTTTTGGGTGGGGAAGTCACTGGCGTAATCACCTACCTTTGTTTTCCTTTAAGATGTGTATTCAGTACTTTCCACCTAAAAGGAAGATCTCAACACTTGGGAGGAACAAAAATCCTAGCCAAGTGGGAACTGTTGGAAAAGTATCAAAACTTTAGAGTTGAGCTACTGGGGAGAGAAGAATTTGGATTGGATGATAATGCAAATTGGGGTAGAAAGAATTGTTCACATGCCCTTTTGTGCTGTTTTTAAGAGATTATGGGAGGCTTAAGGGGGTTAAAAGTTGGTGGAGGGAGTTAAGGGATGAGCTTATGGGGTTTATTAAAGACTCTACCATCTCTCTCCCCTTTCCCCCACCTGCATTAATTCCAGCACTGCCTCACAAGCATTAGTAGAAGACACAGCCAGATGGGCTAGCAACTTGGGCAGAGCCATTTTCCTTTGCTCATGCTGAGAAACAAAAAACAATTTAGGAAGGATTTTAAATCAAACAACAACAACAGTAAAAAGATGCTAATCAGCAGAATTTTAAGTTCTTGGGTTGAAGCTTGGCATTCTGTTACAGTCCTTGCAGTTTGTCCTAGGCAGGAGTTCCAAAGAATGGGAACAGTTCCACCGTTGCTTTCATAAACATGATTCTTTCCCATAGTAGCCAGCCAAGTGCTTTCCAGGAAGCCCAGGAGAAGGGCACTGGCCTTTCCTTCTTGTTTGTCCTTTGAGAGGCCCTCCAGCATCCTTCCCAGCCCAAATGCACCAGCCCTTAGAACACAGTGCTTCTACTTAAGTGGCTATAGTAGCTGCTGATCGACACAGCCGCCATAAATTTGGTTAAACTCGTCTAAGCTAGTGGACACCACAACATCTTATAGCAGCACATTCTACAATTTTATTACTTCTTCTCTGAAGCAGTTGTTTCTTTTGCTTTCCTGAACCAAATATCAATCCAAGCTACTGCCCATTAATTTCATGGGATGAGCACAAGTTGTTTTGTTCATTAAAAAAAAACCAACAACAGTTTGCCATTCTTAAGTACTGGCTCTAAAGCCTTCTTGAATGCTTGTTGAAAGAAGTTTTACCTATGGACTTGTTTGACTTTCCTCTTCTAATTGAAAGTTATGATTAGTAAAAGCATCTTTTAAACATGTAGCCCTTTGAAAGTCAGTGAGCTGACGTTGAAAGGTACATTCTTTAGGATGTGGGCATATGTGTATGGGAAAAGGATAGAAAGAGGCTTAATTTCTGGAAAGTGGTAGCCATTTTCCAAGATGACAGATGAACCATTTGTGTGTGGGAGGGGAGGGGTGATTTGGCAATCTGGATATTCAGATTGAGTGCACTTTTCTCATTTGGATATCTGATTGCCACCAATACTCCCCCACTCCTCAAATATTGTTGCTTTCCATAACTGTTTCAGACCTGGCCATTTTCCAAAATTGTGACCAAATCATAGGTCAAGATTTGGATACAGCAGGATCCCTATACCTGTGAGGATAGGTTCCAAGCCATCTACTGATGCCTGAAAGTGCAAATAATAGCAAACACTATATACGTACATAACATTTCTTTTTTCACAATTTCATGGAGAGAAGGTTCATTCTTACCATACATCTTAGCAACCTCAGCATATGATTTTTTTTCTTTCCCTATTAAATTGAGAATATTCACTTAAAGAAGCACTTTACAGCTTCGCTTTGGCAGTTTACAGCATTTACACCTTTTCTTTGGCACTTACACCTTCTCTTTTGGATCGAGTTCAACCACCGTTACTGAGAACATGGAAGCTGAACCAGCGGATAGGGGGGTCCTGCTATATTTGATATTGAGGCTGGCTAGCTTAAAGGAAAGGCCTAGTATGGGGGAGGATTTTTGAGGACAATACAATGTCTCTAGTAAGAACTGGGATGATACTTTAAGTCTTAGGTGGGGAAAGATGGGGCAAAGAATGCCGGTGTTTGAGAACAGATGGTAGGTTATGGAGGGCATCCTAGTACAAGATCATGGGGGTAGTCTATGATGCAAGCACCACTAAATATTGATTTGCTGTAGAAAAACTTGGGTATGACTCTCCTGGATTGGATGAGAAGCCTTCCTCTCCGCCATTTTATTTTGAGGAGCTGACATAGATGGTGACATGACACCCTCACATGGGTATTAGATTTTATTTTGGCACTGCATGTGGATACGCTGGCAAACTCTGCTGATTGTGGCTTCCCAGGGCATGCACAGTGCGTGCAAACCCAGCAAAAGTAGAGAATAAAGGGTACTTGCGAAGTGGCTGGATATTACTCCTATGTATGCCTGCAATTTTCCATCATGCTACATGCAGTTACATGTTGCATTTTTGCAGTGTTTCTCATTATAAGGATAACTATTGTTTTCTTTAGATTGGGAATTGTTGACACTTGGGAAAAGTTTCCATTTTCCCCTCTCCTTTCATTAGTTTGATGAAAAGTTTCTATGGTGTGGCATGCATTATAAAGAGAGTTCAGAGGAAGGCAAAGTTGAGAATTGCAGTAATGGCTGTATTCCACTAGGTGGCTCCCACATCCCACTTTTATTTTAGCATTGCTTTGAAGAAACACACTTGGGTAAGAGCTATGGTACATTAGATGGTATCTTTTTGTTGGAATAATATCACTTCCCTGCATCTGCTCTTAGTAGGGCAAGTGTCTTTGCTTGGTCAGTGCACAAGCAACCGTAACGCGGAATCACTTTGTTTGCATTATATTGACAAGCTGCAATCCTGTGGCCACTGACTACCACTGAACTCAGTGGGAGTTACTTCTGAGTAGACGTGTATAGGATTGAGCTTCCAATATGCTCTGGCAGTGGGTCTCAAATGATGGTTCTTCTAAAGCTCTGTGAGGATAAGCAAGCATAGGTCACAACAGATTATTAAAAGATAAACATGCCTTTTGAAAAAGGGGAAGATAGAGAAAATCTGCGTTATTTCATTCTGGGCCCAAGGCCTGAAATTTTCCTAAACACGCAACCCATAGCCAGTTCTAATCATGTGTGGCAGCTAAAGGCCCCAGATGGCGACACATGTTCCTGTCCACATGGAGAGATGAGAATCCAGCCTTTTTCATGAGTCCCGCTGCTGCGGTGAATCAGCTACACATGGGCAAAATGCTGCCTCCATGCGCAGTATTTCCTTTGCTGTGTTGGGATGAATGCCTGAGCAAGGTGTTTTGTGATGGAAATAGGCCCTTGCTCCGCAGGTACCACTTCCATAGCCAGAGTTGTCTCTTTAGAGCAGCCGTTCTCATTGGGCTGGCCAGAGATGTTTTTCTGCCCATAGTAGAATAGTAATGGTGTTCCCTTCTCCAGACAGAGCTAAGGTACCCTATGTGTAAGCCATGCAGTGTAGGTGGTTCTGGGAACCACCTACATGGTATGATCAACAGACAATGACTTGTTCCTTCTCTTTCTTCCTCTATAGTCCTCTGGGCCATATCTCGAGGGACCTGAAAATCGTGCAAATGCCTTCATAATTTTACTTTATTACTATTTTATCAGTCTTTTGCAAGTGCATATTTCCAGCTACCCAGTGTGTCGTCTTGCCTTGTCAATCTCCCTGATAAGTTTCAGCTCTCGAAGGGAGCAAAGTGCAACAGATAATAAGCAAGGACGTTGACAAGGTGAGACTGCATCTCGTGAAATTTGCACACACTTGCCAAGGGAGGGAAAGGAAAAGAGGAAAGAGCATCCACATGTTATTCATGGGTGCTCCCTCTTTTGGAGTAGGGAGATTGGCCTGGTTTACCTGAGGCGAGTGAGATGTCCAAAGTTTGCAAAATGTTGTGGAGCCTTGGATGGAGAGCACTGTCTCAGCCTGGAATCCTCTATATACTTATCTGAAAGTCAATCCTATAGAGCTCGATAGGTCTTGCTTACCAAGGCTTGCATGGGAAGCATCTTTCGATTCCAGGCTGAGTCCAGTTGCAAAAGATCACCTCTGATCACCTCTGATCACCTCTGGGCCAGTTGCAAAAGATCACCTCTGATCGGGGAATGAATAGAGTAGTGAGGCATTGTCTTCTTTTAGTGAAGCAAAAAATGATCTTGTTCAATGCAGCTTCTGAAGGAAATGCTTGTGCTTGGTTTGTTCACAGGTCTTCATTGCTGTAAACTGCCTCAGTACAGACTTCTCCTCTCAGAAAGGTGTTAAAGGACTTCCCTTGAATCTTCAGATTGACACCTACAGCTACAACAGCAGGAGCAATAAACCCGTCCACAGAGCTTACTGCCAGATTAAAGTCTTTTGTGACAAGGTAAAGCTCCAGAAGTCTGTAACGAGGAATCTTGACTGGAAAAAGGTTTGGGGAATGTTGTCTCTCCAAGGTCTTCTGAGTAGTCAAACATTTAAATCAGATATTACTATTTGTTTTAATAGATGCAAGAATTTTCATTGCATCATAGAGGGTAAGATGTCACTGTTTGGACCTTTGACAGTAATTGATTAGTATTATTCCCAGAGAATGCAGGGGGAATTGCTTGGGAAAGGATACCAAGAGAAAAGTCTCAAAGCGACATATATATATTAAAATTAAAATATATTAAAATTGTGCCTCTCCTGTTTCAAACACAAAGCATCTATTTTCTAAGTGTGAGGTGTTAAATAATATTTCTGATCAAGCAACATGAAGGAATTAGCCAGCTATCCACGAGTTAAAGCTAGTTATCAGTACAATTTTATCTTAATATTTACTTGCTTTTTAAAACAGGTAAACATTTTAAAAACCTTGTCCTGATGTAAATTGATGTTGGGTACTTTTATATTTATGGATTAAATGGGAAAATGAATTTTCAGACCTCTTAATGAAATGGATTCCACAGCATAACTAATCATTGGTCACAAGAAAGCCTAAACTGTGGTAGTTTGCAAGTTACAGGAACAAAAAGTGTTTCATCTCCTCTGCCAACTTTGGCCTACTTGATTTCCTTCCCAATGACTTTTGGTGTTTCCACATCACCTGTGTCAAGCGGTCATTCTGTCCCAGAGATTTTGTCTTGGTTAACAAAAAAAAACCCACCATGCTACATCCAAGTAGTAAGATATTAGAAGAAAAGGCATGTATGCTTTATCTAACTTTTATTAAGCAAAACTGCTCATGAGAGAGAGAGAGAGAGAGAGAGAGAGAGAGAGAGAGAGAGAGAGAGAGACAGAGAGAGAGAGAGAGAGACAGAGAGAGAGAGGTCCAGCCAGATGGGTTTGTTTTAGGGCTCACTTCAGACTTCAGGAAACACTTTTACACAAGGTTTTATCCAGGGTGTAGCCCCTTCTCATCATGAAGGTCACTCAATGACTTTGGGCTGGGCTCTTAGCCTAATTTACTTTACAGGGCTGTTGTGAGGATAAACTGAAGAGGAGGGTTATGTAAGCCACTTTAGGTTCCTTGCAGGGAAAAGGCAGGATATAAATATAATAAATAAATGAAGCGAAGTAAATCTCTATCTTTTCAGTTTGGGGTTTTTGGGGACAGAGATTTGCTTCTTCTTCTTCTTCTTCTTTTTGTTGCTCTAGCCAGTAATTTAATCCAAAACTTTGCTCCACTGGCTATTTCTGAGTTTGGTCTTGCTCTGATTTAATGTATCAACATGCCATCAAGAGAGCATTGATTATTGGGCACTTAAAAACATAAGAAATAGTACTTCCATAGCCAGGCACTCAGAGGGACTTGTTTGGGCATTGTGTGTAAACTAGCCAACTTCTTCCTGGGAGAAGGAGGGACAAATTTTCTTAAGACTTCTTCTCCTTACTTCTCTTTAGTGTGTAACATGAACATGGGAGGAGAGTGATTGCACAAGCCCCACCTGCTGCTTCTAGGTGGAGGGTGCTTTCTCAGAGAGGAACACCTCCTGCATCCGTGGAGGCTCCCTGCAAGATTTTGAACACGTATTTTCCCTCAGAGGACAGCCTCTCTTCAAAAAGTTGCTCCCCACATGTAGAAAGTAACAGAAATGCCCCAGGCAGTGGTAGGGATGATGCTTCCCTCCTTCACACATGAAAGCTACCTTCTTCCATATAGCCTGAAGTGCCTGAAGCTAAGTGAAGTCTAATCCTGGAAGCTAAGCAGGGTTGGGCTGGGTTAGAACCAGGAGGGGTGACCTGTGTGTATGGTTCTATGATTATTATTGTAAATTGCCCAGGGAACTTCAGCTATGGGCGGTATACAAATGTAGTAACAATACCAACACAGCTGTTACTCTGTAAAGTTGAAGAATTATTCACACTGGAATGGAACAGTTTGACATGTTTAAAGCCCAGTTTGGGGTGTGGAATGGGCTTCCATGGGAGGTCCTTGAGGCCCCATCGGTGAGGGTGTTCAAAGATAGGCTGGACATACACATGGTGGGCATGTCATGAGCGGAGCCGGCTGGAGCCGGGGGTCAGACTAGATAGCCTGGGAGCCCCCTCCTGACTCACTCTGTTTCTTTGTTTCTATGTTTTTTCCCTACTCTTGGATAGAGCTTTTGCCTCTAAATTCCTGGCCTTCCCTTTGCTTGTCCATGGCTCAAACCAGGAGAAATGAGCGCCTACTTAAGGGTAGCAACAGAGGGCTAGTCCATGTGACCCACAGGCCTGTGTATATCTTGCTGAATATAGTTGCTGGACCACACCTCACATCCTGCCTCAAAGAGATACTCTTGCTCAGTCTTCCTTGATCTGAACTGCACATAGAGGCTCAGTTTCAAATTCAACTATTTTTGGTTGATTTGGTGAAGAAATGGCAGCTTGACTGACTGCCACAGGGTCTGATTTGGGATGGAGCAAGGATACTTACTGAAAAGGTAGGACCCTCCTGCCCCCCCCACCTCCCCACAAAACACCTGAGCATAATCTTCCCTGTTTATCTCACAGGGGGCAGAGAGGAAGATCAGGGATGAAGAACGAAAACAAAGCAAAAGAAAAGGCAAGTGCTCTGACCCGAGCTCTCAGCTGAATGCCTGTAAGTAGAAAATATTGTGCCATTTCGTTTCAAATAAAAATGTCAATTGAACTATTTGGAAATGCAGGCTGTGACATAAAGCATCTCTTCTTCTGAACATGGAAATGCATGTGTGGGCAATACAGCCGTTGGTAAAAATGGGCATTTCAGTTTCTTTCGGGATAAGGTGGACGTGTTAATACGATTGCACCAAGGAAAGCAGCATCACCTGACAAACACTGTCCTCCACTGAAGCATTTCTGGAGGCGGGGGGGGGGGGGTCAAGAGTTTTCAGTAAATTCCCTTTTTTAAAGAATTTTTTGTAGAATGCTTGGGTGTTCCAGGGGATCAAAATAGTACACCTGCAATTACCTCCTGCTGCTCACTCCAGCAGGATCACCAAGATGGCTTTCAAAATAGAATTCCATGAGTGGGACTTGCAGCAACTCCATAGGGATGCTCCCCATTCAGGATTCCGGCTGCTCCCTTCTTTCTTCCTTGCCACAACTTTTCCTCCCTCCCGGCAGCCATCCATGGCCTCAGGGCATGTCAGCTCCCTACTGGGTGTCATCCTAGGTTGTTTGTTCTTCCACAAACCTTTGGATTTCCCAGCACCAGTTGTGTATTGGTGGTGTCCCTTTGGCTACATATGTAATGGCACCCAGAGAATGGAAGTAACTATTAGTATATACATTATACAAACAGTAACATTCATTGTGATGAAGAAATGGAATCAAAAACAAGCTGGGAGTTCCTTAAATCAAATTCGATGAGCCGCTGTCTTTGAACCCATCTTACAGTAGGCAGAGATGGCCTGCTAGTCTTTGTGTCCATGGGGGCAGAATCTCAGAATAAGTCCCAGGATCTCTGTATAGCTGTGCTCGACTCAGCAAGATGAGAAGGATGATTTATTGTTTCGTTTCATTTCGTTTCGTTTCATTACTGTACTGCCCGTAGCTGAAGCCATTAAACCAGGCCCTGATTCAGAAAGCTGGAGTGTAAACGTGTGAACTTCTGTTTTAACCGTCCCTTATTTCCTTCTTGCCTCCACCAGTTTCTGATGTCAAAGTGGCCATGCTGCCGTCACACAAGCGTACCGACATCACCGTTTTCAAGCCGTTTATGGACCTGGACACTCAGCCAGTGCTCTTTATTCCTGATGTTCATTATAACAACGTTCAGCGTGGCACTCATGTATGGCTCCTCTTTTGCATACCTGGGGGCTGGGGACACAGTGGGAAGTGGAAAGAGGTGGACAGCCATTCCTTGTCCTGTTGCAGAAAGTAACTGAACTGATAATTTGGCTGACTCTAAGCAATCAGTGTCTGTCATAATCGCTGCATATTTTTTGTGGAAGCCAGAGTTTCTTCCTGAAAGTTGTGATGCTGGAGGCGAGGCTGTCTCAGTTTCTGACCGCTGTAGCCATAGTTTATTCTCTAGAATAATAATATCCAGTTCATCCAGTAACAGCCACTGTTCCCATTGCAATATCATAAACTATTCAGAGGCACTTGTGTGGGGTGTGGCCGTATAGATTGCGCCCTCACTGCTTGGGAGCCTCTGAGCTTGGGGGGTTCTGAGGTTCCTGTGCCCTCCAAGGCTGAAGCTGGTGAGGCAGGAGCCACAGAGGTGGCAATCTTTGCCCTCCACTTGCTGCATTTTCCACTAGATCAGTTTTCAGCCCAGTCTCTCCCCTTCCCCAAGCAATGGGATGCCCCCTTTCCAATCTCGGAAAGGCAGCTGGGCCAGAAAGAACTGGGAAAGGGGGAGAAGATCTTGGACTCACTGTTCCGATGCTGAGGGGAATCCAAGCCGTCACCCAGGGACTAAGATTGCCCTCCTCATTTATTTAATTTGTATCCTATTTGTCATTTGTATTCTGCCATCTCATGCCTGAGCACCTGGAGGCTTACAGTCAAGCAGCAAAAATATTAAAATGTAATGACTCAACATTAAAAAGCATGTGAATATAAGCAGCATTGAAATAGCGGGATATGCTGTACCTGAAAAAAACCAGACCCAAGCCTCAGCACAGCAAATCAAGGAGCCCTGCACGTTCTTGGAAAAGTAAATGCTTTTCTTGCCTCCAGAAGGCTGTCCACCAGAGAAGAGGCAGAGACAAAGGGAGGGTAGAAAATGGGGCTGAGCACTAAGCATGCGGTACTTGGGGAGAGTTCAGCAGCAGCAGAGAATGCTTGCAAGGCAGATAGGCGTTGGCCACCCTGTGAAAGGAGTGGCTTTTGTGGACTTGGAAGGCAGAGAAAGTTTAGAAAGAGAGCAATGGGAGGAATTTTCTCCTGGCGTAAGAAACAACACAGCAAAATACACACATACAGGAATCAGATCCCTGGTTTTCATATAGCATTGGCCCATGGTTTATTTAGCCCATGGCTGCTGTCCTATGCAGGGTTTCTTCAGCAGATGGGCAAACTAAGTGGTTTTATTTCCTGATCTCTTGGTTGTTTGTTTTCTTCCTCCTTTGCTTGCTCCTTCCCCGTATGCCAAATGTCTTTGTGACCTTGTTGCATTGGCATGTTTCTTTGCTTGCTTGTTTTTTTTAAACACTACCATATCCTGCCTCTCCATCCTGGTGAAATAACCCATGCACCAGTGGTTCTGGGGTCACACTTAAGGGTTAACCAACCCAGCTTTCATAACCCAATTTTAAAAATGGAATCTCTTTCTGGATTGCTCATTATTAACAAACCCTAGTTTGTTATGGTGATTGTGCTCACACATCACAGTGATCCAGAATTCAGCAACCTATACCCATAATGACTTACCACTATGTGCAAATCACATTAGGCAAAGGAACTGATCCACAGCAGATGATTACCAGTTTAGCATGGTTTCTGAAATGCTTTTCAGCCATTTTTAGGCTTGTTTATACAAACACAGCATATGTTCTACAGTACCTCTTATATTGTTAATCATTTTTAGTTTTGCTCTAGATCACTTTTTTTTCTCTTTTGTTCTCTCTTCTAGGTCTTTCCTCTTGCATCTGATGAACTGGAGGGTGAAAGGTAAGATTTGCTATTACTTTCTCAGCCTGATGCCAATCATTTATATGGGATGTTTTATTTGTTTTGTTGTTCTGGTTAAGTGATAATCTGTCTGGCCCATGATGTGAGAAGAACATGGTTCTCCATCCTTGTTTTTAAGTCTCTTGGCAAGTTATGAAAAGTGCACTCTGCCCCAAGGCAGATCAGCAGATTTTCAGGGTGGAAACTAAGAGCAACTTGAACCAGATTTAATGACAGCTGAGTCACCCTGGCATCTGACTTGCACTAGCTGGCTTATCTGAAGCACTCAGAGATGAAGAATTCATACCTGGAAACGCAGATACAGACACAGTCTTGGCAATAGTGTGATACTGAATAGTCTCTCTGTAAAGCACCTTTGTATGTTCACATGAGCATTACATAACATATGTACTTTTTCTAAAACCTATGATCATAGTGCCAGGGAACAGAGTGCTGAGTTGGGGTATGGAAAATTAGCAATTTGGGAAACTTGCTTTTTCTCAGTTCACTGAATTCTAGTGTGACTAATCTTAGAAATATATGATGTGGTCTTCCAGTGGGACAGGATGAGAAAGAAATTCAGACTGTATGTAGACAGAGGTCAGGTTGTTCTTGGCTTTCCAGTGATGTCAGGACTAAAACATTTCTAACGTCATCTATTGGTTTGGAATCAGGATCTTGACCATGTGCAATGGCACAGGCAGGAGTGCTTCAAAAGTTGATGGCAGCATGTTCAACAAATTGCCTGTTAGCTTGTTTCCAGTGAGCGTCGGAGTCTCACCATAAAATGGACTAGAACTTGCAGAAGCATGTTTTCTTCCTGATACCCACTCACTGCTTGAAACTTCACTGCTCTTAGGGGTGAGCCCTTCTTCTGCTGAGCGAAGCATGGTGGGAATGCTGTTCTGACTGGCTGACTGGTTTTCTTGCAGCTCCAGTATGAAGAGGGGGCCTTACTTAAATGAAGATGATTTTGCTGCCAGCCCAATTAAACTGTCTCGAATAGAAGAACCAAAAAGAGGTAAGGTTGCAAATGGAAAGGGAAAGAAAGGCGTGTTTGGGTTGTACTTTGTACTAGTTGTGTGCAGTTTCTGGAAAGCGCACGCGTGGGCAGAGGGAGTTAGTGAACCAGGTCCCCCTCTAAGAGGTGTGTGGTGCCGCACCCTGGGACAGGTATTGTTCAGAGGGCTGTCAGTCTGCTCTTTGTGGATAGGAGAAGGATCCAGAATATAATTTGCTGGTTCAGCAGACAACATTCTTAAGAAACCGGTGCTAGAGCAGGATATTCTTGTTCACCGATAGAGAGTGCATATCTCCCCCAGTGTATACTTTCTGGGCACATATTTAGACTGCTGGGAAACAAACCATGGGTCACCTGGTATGCATAGCTTTTCTTAGATGCTCTGGAACAAATAAGACAAATGTTCAGTGTCCTTCAGGAAGGTTATGCATGTGTGTATCTGGCAGTTTCTGTCTACCAAATAGGTATGACAGGCAGGTGAGAAAACCTGAGGCATTTGCTCCTGCATATTCTGCAGGCAATATTGACACTCATCATGTGCTGCGTGTACTTAGGGAGCGAATCCAGAGTACAAAGCAGCCCTTGGACTGTTAGTACCAAGGAAAGTGTGTTCTCTGGGTGCTTTCAACAGTCTGGGCAGGGCAGATGGCTTGTTCTTCCCTTGCCATTCAGCACAAAATTGTCATGGGGTTACATGAAAACCCAAGGGTCCGTTGCATATTATCCTTGTGGACACCCTCCTCAGAATCAGCCTTCATTTCAAGTGATCTGTGTGGCCCTGCTGTCCTAAATTCACCCTTGCTGACAGACGTGTTAGTATAATATAATCTAAATCATAGGTGCAAGGCCTGCTATCACATATAGCAAACAGAACTTTGATACCAGTCATTCAGGAGGTAAACTAAGGATAACTTATCTAACATGCTGAACCGTCTTACTCTGTGTGCTCTTAAGACTCAGCCTACCTTTTCCTGTGGGATGACTCTTGCGTGTGGCTGACAAGTCAGTCCCTTCTGGCCTGTAAACAAAGGGCTTAAAGTGCCATTTCTGGACTGCTCAAGGGTCAAGCAATTTTCTTCACACTTTGGCATCCTTGTTCTCATTTCATAAAAAAGTTGTGTGCCTGTTTTTGTTCTGATTTTATTAACCCTGCCACCTTTCTACCAGTGTTGCTGTATGTCCGAAAAGAATCAGAAGAAGTCTTTGATGCACTTATGCTCAAGATTCCATCTCTGAAAGGTCTAATGGAAGCGGTAAGTAGCAAGGTCCCTTGTAAAGAAAAAGTTGGTGAAACAAGATACCCACTTTTATATAATTGAGGGGTACAACCATGTGCGCTGGTGCGTTCTGGGAAAAGCAAAGGGGTGCCCATCTGTTGTCAAGAGGCATAGAGTGGTGCTGATCTAATGCAAATTTATTTTATTTTATTTTCGCTTAAGAGATGCTAAAATACCATGATTTTAGACATGTTCTATAAAGGGTAAAGTTTATTTCTCTTTTTCCCTCTCTCCCCCGCATGCTGCAAAATGGATGAAGATGCTTTTTGCACATGTTTCTTCCTGCTCATAGGTATATGCACATTCTACTTAAATCTTAAGGATGGAATTGTCAAACATAAAATGTAAATAACGTGAGAGAAAATATTTGCATGGAATGAATAGGCGAAGCCTTATCTGGCCCACTTTCTTATGCACACTTCCTTGGCATTAAGCCCAGCTATGTTCAATGGGGCCCTTTCTCTAGTATGTGCATTTAGAATTGCAGCCCTGACTTGACCTTGCTTACAAAGAGTGCCCCTTCTCTGACTGTACACGTGGTCTTAATGGACAAGGTTTGGCTGCCATGACTCTACCTGTAAAACAATAGATTACCTGCTTTTGCGTGTGTGCGTGTTCAGAGGTGGGGGGAGGCTCACCTTAAAAAATGGCCATTAAACTCAAGTTATTTATCCTAGCTTTTTCTGACTTTGTCCTCATCCAGTTAGATGCAGGGCCAGAAAACCTGGGACCCCCTAATATTTGGGCCTACAATCCCTATCAGTGCTAGCTAACAGAGCCAGTGGTGAGGGTTCATGGGCATTGTCAGCCAAAACTCCTGGAGGCCCACAATTGCCCAACCTCGAACTAGAGGATTATGGAGTTGAAGGAAAAGAAGACTTAGGGATATGTCCACAGCAAAGCTTGTCCTTTGGATTTAGATTCCATTCCATTCCATTCCGCAGTTGCTTAAAATTGTGTGCATAAAGTGCTCCAAGCATATATTGTATGTGTACTTGGCACAAGGAAGATGAAATGAGATACTTGATTGACATCATTAACTGGCTACTTTATGGTCCTCTCTAAACCCTAGCTCACAGCACAAGGATAGGAACACTGTCCTATAGAACCTGAACAGTTATTCTAGGGCAGGGTTCCCTTTCTGTGAAGCTCTTAGAACCACAGGAAAAAATGGGCAGGGCTGACAAATGCAACACTTTCCAATTCCAGTGTTACAAATGTATAGCAGAAGGCATGTCAGAAGCACAAGCGCATACAAATGGACAGGAGAAAGCTCTGCATGTCTACCCAGAAGTAAGGAGGGCTGCTTTTCTCAGCAAGACTGTCAGATAAAATCCCAAACACCAAGCCGTGGCTTATTTCCTCATAAGTAAGCATGCATATGAGGTCTACTCATAAACACACAGTAGGATAAGGCTTAGCAGGCAGCAGGATCAATCATTTAGCAATACCTTCAAGTAACATTTCTGAATGGGCATAAACATAAATATCATGTCTCCTCACAAATAAGCAGGGGAGAGGGAATCATTCAGCAGCTTCCTTCCTTTCCCTCCCTGCCCTGTCCCTCTGATCAGAGAAAACACTTTTTTCAGAGCTTATCAGAAGAAAGGAGCCATTGTCAGGGCTAAGCACCTGTTTCAGGGTTAGGTTTCTTCCAGAACTGCCCTGGGAGGAGTACTTTGCAGTACTCTTAATTTCGAGGTCACCAGAGCATAGATTACTGCAACCAGGTCCTTGTTAAGATAAGGGCATAGCTAGGCCATCAGCTGAAGCTGGAAGAAGCCACTCCTTGCCACTGAGGCTCAAGTCACAAAGATGGACCAAGGAGCACCCCCAAGCTACAGACCTGTTCTTTGGGAGGAGTGCAACCCCTCAGCATGAGTAATGGCAGGCTCAACACTTATATATTTGAATGTTTTGAACACTGCTTGCTGGATTAGATCAATTCCTATATATTTATTATTTACTTTTTCCCTGTTGCTCTTGGAGAATTAAATGGTTGGCCAGATTGCAGCCAGGGCTTCCACCAGCCAGTCCCTTTTCAAGTTATTTCACTATGTAGCTCAGCCTTTCTGAGATGTCTGTGGACAAGATGACTAGAATGTTTTATTATCTTGCCATATGGCCTTACCCAGAAAAACACCAGTGTTTGCTGACTCAGCTGTTTATGAAGCTGTCCATTTAGGTTTTACAACTGTTCGTGTGCAGCTGGATGATACTTCTAAGATTCATTGGCTGACATCACAGAATTCAAGTGGGGGCAGTGGCCACAACTGAGGAGCAGGTTGTGGAAGTGGGTGGGGGACAACAGGATGGCATTCAGTGTGGATAAGTGCGAGGTCTTGCACTTGGGACACAGGAATAGGTGTTACAGGTACAGGATGGGGGACAAGGGGCTGGAGAGCAGCACTTGTGAAAAGCCTCTCGGGGTACTTGTCCTGAGCAGGCTGAACAAGAGCCGGCAGTGTGACACAGTAGTTAAGAAGGCATATGCCACCCTTGGATGTATAACCAGAAGCATGGCTTCCAGATCTAGGGAGGTGTTGATACCGCTCAACATGGCTCTGGTGCACCCACAACTGGAGTACACTGCGTCCAGTTCTGAGCTCCACAAGATAGGAGAGACATAGCTAGGTTAGAATTGGTTCAGCGCAAGGTTACAAGAATGGTAGCTGGGTTGGGAGGGAAGACATATCAGAAGAGATTGAGAGAATTGGGTCTTTCCAGCCTGGAGAAGAGGAGACTCTGAGGGGATCTTTTAGTGACTTATAAGGTATGTGAGGGGATGTCATGTGGAGGAGGGCCATGGCCTTTTCTTCCCTGCTTTAGAGGGCAGGATGCATTCCAGTGGAGCAAAGCTCAAGGAACCAGGCTTCAGGTTGGATGTCAGAAAGTACTTCCTGAAGGTTAGGACCCCTAGGATATGGAACGGCCTTCCAAGGGAGTTGGTTGAGGCCCCATCAGTGAGGATGTTCAAGGAAAGATTGGACAACCACATGTCGGAGATTACATGAGTGAAGCTGGTTGGAGCTGGGGGTCAGAATAGATGGCCTGGGAGGCCCCTTCTGACTTGTTTGTTTTCCTATGTTTCTTGCATAGGGCTGTTTTCACATGGTGAATCACTTCTTTGAAAGCTTTGTAATGTAAAAATCTTGCCCTGTGAAACTATATCGTTTCAGAGAGAAAAACAGTACCGTAACTTGTTAAAAATGATGTAATTTCATAGAAATTACTAAGGTTTGACATAAATTGCTTTGCTGTTTACACTGGCTAGAGACTGTGCTAATTAATTTAGCAGTGTAATTATAAATGTATGAATGAATTCCAAGCTAACACCAAACAATGGTTAAAGAAACTCAGCTATAGTTCAGCATGATGACAAACTATGGTTTCTGATCAGCCGGGAATCCAGTGAGCTTTGAAACTGTTTTGTGTTATCTGTGGGTTAGCTTGATTCTGAATTGACAAGCCATAGTTAACAGCCCTTGCTCTTCCTCCAAAGATTGCTAAATCTGACAGATAATAGTGAACTTTGAAGCTGAAAAATCAAAGCAGACAAACTGATCTGTATGATTGTTTCTCTATTCTGTGTTTGGAAAGCTCAAACCATGGGTTTAGTTCTAGAAAAAATGGTTTAGTAGGCATATTAGCATGAATTCTATTTACAATGCATACAATAGTTTTTAAAAGGCAACTCTTTTACCTCTTTGATTCTTGGAATGTTTCCCATTTTTGCCATTGTTTTCCATTTTCATTTTTAGATATCTGATAAGTATGATGTCCCTTTGGATAAAATTGGGAAAGTCTTTAAGAAATGCAAAAAAGGGTGAGTATATCTAAAATACTCCTCCACCGCAGCTTGGCAGGCCAAACACATCTTGCCAGCCGTTTTTTCCTCCATCTTCTCTCCACGCACAGATCTGCATTCGCCCACACCAAATCTGCTTTAGACAGGAGCAATGCTGTTTCCCCTAAAGTGTTGAGCTCTGAAAATACAGCTGCCTCATGGAATTAAGCTGTTAAACAAAGCCTCCCTGCAGCATTTCTGGAGTGCTCCAGAAAAAAAGACAATGATGGATTGCATTCCAAGCTTCTATCCTTCATTAATAAATAGTTCAGCCAAGGAAAGGGCTGCTTAGTTCTTTAGGCAGGAGCAACAGGACTCGGGAGGTCCAGGTTCTAGTCCTCATTCAGCATGAACCTCAGTGGGTGACTTTGGGCCAGTAACTAACTTTCAGCCTAACCTACCTAGCAGGAAAAAATGGAGAGAGTGAGGATTATGTAAGCCTTGCAGGAAAAAAACCAAGATATAAATTTAAAAAATAAATACAGCTTATTTTACATGTACAACATGCTAAATGTTGTATAGAACACAGTGCCTAGCCATGTAGATTATAATTTTGAAAAACCTGTATTAAACAGTTTATCATTTATCTATCATGCCATACTGCATGCAATCCTGAGAAATTATTCATTTACTGAGGATACTTGCTGAGGTATTTGTAGCCTTCTAACAAAAAATACAGTTCCTAGAATTCCTTCATTCAGTTCTGACAGTTATGCCAGTTTAAGGAATTAGTATTAGTATATGACCTCCATATTTAAAGTCATGTCAACTCTGACAATATCTACTTTGACCTGGTTTAAACATAATGAGGACCACTGGGTCACTGGGGCTGTGCAGGAGCAAGCTCACCATCTTGTGACAACTCGTCACTTCTTTTTTCTCCTTTACAAAACAAGTGTCAGCCAAAAAAAACAGAATCTTTGAATCTGAGCTTACTAGTTTCTCCCTTGCCAACTGAACTCTTTGGTGCCTCTGACTAGTTCAGTTTGCTTGGAAACTTGCTAGAAACCAGTCCCTATTTGAAAGGGGCTTTCATGTCATCCACCACACCCAGGTTGGCAAGAGCACAAAGAGAAAATTAAGGTATAATGCAATTTTCCCCTTAAGATCTGTTTTGTTATCACAGAAATGTACTTCATTAGGATAGCCCAACAAATTATGATGCCCACAGTATCTAACTTGCTCTGTGCTTTTGCTTTTAGTGCAAAACATTAAATACATGTTCTGCATTTATTCCCTTATTTTCTTAGCATCTTAGTGAATATGGATGATAACATTGTGAAACACTATTCCAATGAAGATACCTTCCAGTTACAGATTGAAGAGGCTGCTGGATCGTACAAGCTCACTCTTACTGAGATCTAGATCCTGGCTTATGGATTCTTTGAATGAAGGTTGTGAACATACACTTCTCACTGTTTTTGTCCTCAAGATATTATAGCTCCATCTCTAGGGGAAAAGCCATTTATGGTTCCAGAGAAGAATACATTTTGCTGTTTTTTAAAGAGGGGTGATATGCTTCCACACATTGGTCCTTTTGGTTGCAATAGTGCCCTTGGAATAGATGAACAGAAGACACTGGATTAAAAAGAAATTATAAATAGCTGATGTAACCAAAGCACTACAAAATGGCCTTTTACTGCAAATATGTGTACATTCCAACAGTCATTGACTGTATAGGTTTGTTCCTCTGTTGCTTGTCCCTTACAAGGCTGTATTTATGTACAGCTTTCAAATTTCCATACGTTCCAGACGTTCCAGAAAAGGGTGGAACTGGACTCTCTGATGTTTACAACAGAACTGAACACACTCTTATCATTTACTTCTGCAGCTTCTTAAGGATGTCAAACTGCCTTGATTTATGAAGAACATCCTTTAAGTTACTGTACAATTCCCCATTGATAAGTTGTATTTGTATATAAGTGCAGTGTATTTTGAAGGGTTGTAAATGTGTACATATAAATCATAACATATATAATATATAATGCAGGATAAATAGATAGATATATGTTTATGTGTGTGTGAAAATATAATATAAAATGAATAAATGCCACAAAGTTCATATGACCAAAGTCATATGAAGTCCAAATGAAATGCCACAACAGAACACAAAAGAGCAATCTCAGTTCACTGAATAAATTGAATTTATTTTATGGTGAGCATCTGGTGAGGGGAAAAAGACAAAACAATGTCTTCCACATAGCAAATGTAGCTTTCTTACTTGGAGCTGAGGTAGATATAGCTCCTTGTAAAGTAACAAAGTTCAGGATTTGCAGTATCAGCCTGGTATAGCAGAAGGAAAGCACAGCTTGTTCCTCACCTCAGGGTGGAAATTTGAAGAAGAATAGGCCATATACAGCTTCCTGGAAATGTAAGCTTTGTGGTCCTGCTCCTCTGATCATTTTTATGTCTGAGCTTTACTTTCAGGCAGCTGAGTCCACAAATTGCCTTGATTGCACAAGTTCTTATGCACCTGTGGCCTTCTTGGGTTAGTTTTGTCTCCTGGCAATTCATGAATAGAGATACTGGCCTTCTTTTCCCTAGTGCCCTCCAGATGTGCTCGCCATATTGGCTAGGAATGATGGAAACTGCAGTCCAACACGTCTGGGGAAAAGCAGGTGGGGCAGGGATGCCATATGCTATAAAACAACGTCTTCAAGTGTAGTGCCAGGATTCCTACTCAGCAGTGGAGTTGCAAATACTGTGTACCTCAAAAATTAATACTCCCAAGTAGCTGCCTGGCTGTAGTAGACATTTTTAATACAAAGATTTTATTTGTCAAAATCCAATGAAAAACACATACAGTTCTTAAAAATCAAATTTAAGTCTAGTTCTTGACTTTGATATAATTTTTATTTCTTCTTGTATGATTGTTATTTTTGCTTTGCATTTTTTTCTTTTTAAGAAAAGCTTTTACTTCCAGACTTTGATCTGGTTCAGATATTAGTAGAAGTGATCCACAGTTATAAACTTTATAGAAGCCTATCACTGCAGGTGTCTTTTTATTTGAAACACATCCCCACATTATCAGTTGTCCTAGTTTTAGCAGCCACATTCCTCTAATGTTTCACACATAATGTTATTCAAGGGTATGGCTTGTTGTGATGTTAACCAGACAATGTGGAAGGAGAACTCACTGTACATTCTTGGATTGTGAACTCTGAGTTCAGTTTAAACCAGAGTGATTGTTATGTCCAAATCCAAATCTGTGAGTTATTCATAGGTTGCTTTTCCAGGCTGCAGAGGCAGTGAGCAAGAGTAGTAAAAAACAAACCAACTGTCCTTCTACATGGCAATACAATGGCACTGCAAACCATCAAATAGCTATATCTTCTGTCATTTTCACTCTAGCATTCGAGTGTTTTAAGAATCCAATCCAGCTTGTATATGGTTTCATATATGCCTGCTAACTCAGGCATTGTCAGTCAGTGGGATATACGTTGATTGGGTTAAATGACAGTATCACCTGTTGTGAGTAACTAGGCATGATGGCTTGCTGTGTTGTCTGAACCCAGACCACTACCCACAATGTTGCTTATGTTTTTGGCAACAAGCTGTCATGGCAAGACATGGCTTGTTCTACAGATTTTCTGATCCATGATGGATTTGCATGCCATTTGAACCCTGCACAATAATTTCATTGTTGACGATGGGAATTGGCTAGTGAGCCACCTGGCAAGATTAGCAAACTGTACCACTGCTCCTCATGATCTCACCCTTGCCACTGCTAGGGACAGCCCTTCCAGTGATGCCCAAGGGACACTTTGGAGGAAACACTAGTTGAATTTCTTTTTCAGCCCTAGAAAATTGCACAACCCATGCTGAACAGCCCATACTGCATAGCTGTTTCATAAGAGGCTTTCCATGATGTGTGAATGTGGCCAATCTCTAGCTGGGGCTAGCTAGCCAGGTGTTCTTTAATTTCTATTTAAGTTAAAATGTGGCTTCTGTGGGATTTTTAGATACTTTTTGGAACATGTAACTCAGTTTTTCTTCAATTTGCATTGGCTAATGGTATGTCTCTGGCCAACATCCAAAATATTATGTACAAATCTCTAAATTGCTTAGGACCAGAGTATCTGAAGGACCACTTTGTCCCACACAAACCAGCCCACCCATTGTGATCAGCACTTCAGGCTTTGCTCCACATTCTTGGCCATCAAAGGTCCAGTTGTCTGAGATGCAGGACAGGCTTTTTTGATGCTGCTGAACAGCCTTAGCCAGAAGACCCAACCAGTCTTGCTCCTCTGGTACACTGATGAAAACTTTGTTTCATCAGGCTTTCAGTGTGAGTAATAGTAGCTGTGATTTATGGTTAACTTTTCTTTTTTGATGTTGTTTGGTTTGCATATTGTTATTTAAAGCTCATGTTAGCAACTTTGATGCTCCCACACGGGGACAGAAAGTGTGCATGCATATTGTGAATGGTGACAGAGCAGAAAAGTCTCTCTTAAGCCAATTTTAAATGTCTTCCAGGTAATAAAGGATTTAATGTTGGCTAGCTGTTGATTTCTCTGTAGCATACCACTGTAGTTTTGCCTGTACACTGAGCATCTGTTGTTCTTGCCATTACATGAATGACTAGTCAATGAACATGAGGGACAGTATTCAACAATGCCATTTGCAAACTCACATAGTGCTCATGGAGTGCCTCCAAATCCTTTAGTTGCTCAAGTGCTTGCACAACAGAGTGTGCACTAGTAGAGCATACAGCCCACTCCTGAAAGTTATTGCACAACCTTGGATTAAGTGGGACTTTAGCTGGATTCTCCCTTTGCACAGATTCAGAATCTAGTTTTCTATAGTACAGCAGCATTTGAGTTTGGAAAATTTTGGATACTGTCCTGGTTTTTCTTTTCTATTATATATATATATGTTTTTTTCTTTTTAAATTATTATAATTCTGTTTGTGAGTTGCCTAGCAACTGAATTCTGGAGTAAGAAACATGTAAAATAGACTGTACAGGTGGTGGAAGTAAACCTGAAAGAGAATCCTTTCTGAAGAAAAATCTTGGTAAGTTTTTAGTAGCAAACTATCTTACCCAAGCCCAGCAGTCATTGCATTTTTTTAAATTTGCAGTCCGTGCTGCTTAATTAGAAGAAAGATACTTTATCAAGGGAATGCATGTGTGCACACATTTTAAGTGCATATTTTTAATTCTGTAGGAAACTGATGTTTTGCTGCACACAGTAAAACTGCCTAGGGGGAGAACTTTTATTAAGGTTGGATGAATTGATGCTTATATGTGCTGATTATTTTTCTGGGAAGTAGGACTTTTACCATAGTCATATTTGAAATGTTCCATGGAGCTGATTTTGGGAATGTCATCTGTTTTGTGTCTGTGTAATTGAAAATTTACATACAGTAAGAGCTATTAAATTTTTTATGTCTGTTTCTAACTGTTCAGTTAACTTTACTCAACATTTATCATAAATTTAGATATCTGCTTGAAACATATGTTTGGGGAGGCTCATAGGTATTTTAAACCACCCTTAGGTATCTTAAACTGTGTTCTTGCTTTCCTTCTCCATCTCATGGTTTCTACCAAAATGGTAATCACTTACCAGCAATCTTATGAGGAAGCAGTGAAAGGGGAGCTGAGAGAGGGGGGATGTTCTATGTAGTTCAATCCCAATACTGCCAGTTATATGTATGCATTCATGTATTCTGCACAGAGTTTGCCAAACCACTGTTTCATAATTTTGATGATAAAATGGGACCGATGGATAATTTTTAAATGAAGGCAACATTTCTTTCAATGAGTTGCCTCAGTAAAAAAACTTTTTGGAACTTTTCTTCTCTTGTAAAGCAGAATTGATTCCTGTTTCAAAATACATAGTATTGTGATGTAACATTCATTTTCATTTGTTTTTTCCACATATACATCCACATACCATCTTTATCTAGTTGTGAGAGTGTATTTACTTTCATAACTAAGTGCTGCTATGTGACATAAATTATATTATACATTCTTTTATTAGTCCTCATTTTTCCTAGCGTCATTCAATATCATTCATGTTTTTTTGTTTCTATATTTAAAGCCTTTTCAGTAAGGCAAAGTTTGTGAATCTGTTGTGCCCTCATTTTTGCATAGATGTTATTCTTGTCCTATAAAATTGGTTCATTATTTACGGGTTGGCTTCTCTCGCAGATTTGCATATAATGGTTAACCCATTATTTGCCACAGCATGTGTCCACACATGCCAGTGCCATTTTGACTATGCAGCCTCCAATTGGATGCTCTGAGATGTGTGAACCTAGACACTGTGGATTAACTGTGGGATAACAAGCCAAAGTTAACCTAACAACAAATTGATTAGAGGTTGTCTATTAAAAGTGTTGTCAGCACACATCTCTTGAAAAGCATAGGTTAATCAAACCATGCTTTGTTGTTATATATGAATTGAATCTTTCAGTTGGGCAACTATGGGAGTTTATGATTCTGTGAGGTTCTGAATCATTACCTGAAACTTTCCAGTCAGTGCCTATACCAGTTTAAACTTACTAGCCCAGTGTAAATGTTTCTGTTTAATTTATTAATTTTTTTTTACCACAAAGCAGAAGTAGATTTGAAGGTCAGTTGGCACAAATGAAGCGACACAAACCATCTACATACATGGCTGATTGTCATATTTGCAT